AAATTTTGGTAAATTAACTTTTAAAAAGTCACGTATATAATTCAAAGGGATGCAATATTAAAAAAAAAAAAAAAAAAATAAAAACCCTAATAAAAATTTACTGCCATCAATTTCTAGTTGAAGTAAATGAAATATAAATAAAGTAGTATTACGTAATAAAAAATAAAAAAAAAAAAAAAAAAAAAAAAAAAAAAAAATAAACTGAAATAGATGAGACCTTAAAAAACAAATTTTCGAATAAAATGAATATAATTAATAATAATAATTATTATTATCTTGAAATATTGAATACACATGCACACAAACAAACAAATAAATAAGTTGTCTGATTTCTTTACTTTTAACTATTGAAATTATAAAAGAAAGTTAAATATAAAAAAGGATGGAAAGTTACAGGGGGTGAGGTTGGGAGAAAGAGAACAGTTAAAAGAATCAGTTTTATCAAAGAAAATAAAGAAAACAAGTTTTGTCTACATGGAAATCAGCTTTCACACTAGCAAACGATCGATCACGAACGGAAGCTTTTTCCTACCTAGTTCGAGAACGATAACGTCTTTATTTCCATCCCCACCACCCCTTTCTTTCCTACATTTTCTCCGAGAATCTAAGAAATTGCTTCGTTTTATTGGCTATGATCCGGTCGAACCTGGAAAATGTTGTTTACGCTACTGCCAATGAAGATCTTGTTTCCTTCGACGTATATTCATCTATTACATATATATATATATATATACAGGTTTTATACAACCAACCTACACACACATACATACACATACACGTTTTTAAATACGACCTACACGTATTATTTCCTACTGAGTAGATTTTTCTTTTTTTTTTCAACGTTTAATAATTTTTTTTGCTTCTTCTTCTTCTTCTTGTTTTTTGTTTTTACAAAATTTTTTTTTTTTATTAGGAATATAGTTTCCAACTGTTGTTTTGATTTTAACAATTAGTGAGAAGAAAATATTCTTTTCTTTCTTTTTTTTTCACTTTTTTTTTTCAATTTTCAATTTTGTTTTCTTCCCCC